TGTTGGGGGGATCATCTACAAAGGACAGTGTATACCATTGGTATGCCAGAAATGATGATTGACATCTCACCCAATGTTGGATCAAATTTCTGCAGGAATCACATGAAAATGATATTCTACTGGACCAAAAAAATTTTACCTTGGAATTTGCATCATTCTCTGATGGAAAGGAAGCAGTGGTGAAAGCAGCCAATGTACTTTTTATGAAGTATTTCAAATTGAGTGCCTCTTGCAGGAATCAGGAAGACCAAATTTTTACAGAAGCTCAGATGACTGAGGCCCTAAAAGCTGTTGGTTTGTTACTCATCTGATCTATTTGATGGTTAATTCAACCCATCTCGTTAACAGTTCTAATACTCAACTTTGGGTGTTCATGTGCTTATTCTATTAGGTTGCATAGGGCTGGAACCTGATCTTTTACTAGTTTATGGACCTGTCAGGTGTCACTTAGGTTTCCCTCCATGGAGACTACGCTATACTGAGATCATGTAAGTGGTTTTTCCCATATTCAATTGTCATGCAGTTATACTGGTAAAGACCAGAATCAAAGGCACTAGGCATATTACAATTTTCATGTTACAGACATATGGGACCACTGAAGTTCATGAGGTATGGATCCCTAAGAAAGGCCATTTACAAATTCACAATGGTCCGCCAAAACTATGGTGAGTAGTTTGCCCCACTGATTTGAAATATTCTCGCAATTGCTTTGTAATTGAAGGTGAAAATAAATTTCCTCCTTTGTTTTTCCCTGAACAGGTAAGTGAGGTGCTGCATTCAGAGAAAAGTTGATTTTTCCCATTAGATCATTCTCTTGGATAATGACTGTAACGGCATGTAATAAACACAAGCCTTTTGACCTCAGCCATTAGGAACCTATGCTCTTTTTCCATGGCTGATAACCCCCCAAAACATGTCTCTTGTGGTGGTTAGCATTTTCCGAAGGCTGTACTTCTTTCTTTCTTTCTTCTTTCTCTCTTTGTCAATGAATCATTTAGCTGGTAAATTTCTGCCTAATCAGTGAAATGGTAAATTTGCAATCTCATCATATGCTTTTCTTGTTATATTTGCTAATTTCATTTATCATATAAATTCAGGTAAATAAATTATTGATCTTTAGAAATAGCACTAGGAATATCACCTTAAAAAAATTTATTAAAATTTGGTTGTGAAATACAAAACAACCCTTGAAAACTGCCATCTGAAAAGAGACAAAAAAAATTTACACCAGAACCTCCATCATACGGTAAGTACTCTACTTCTGTTTTTCTGATAAACAACAGTAATAATTTTCCTTAACAAACAACATGAAGAGAATGATGGTACTTAGGATTTCAATCAGGAAAATATGAGCTTGTTGTGAACAAGCAATACGCCTATACTAGCTGCAAGAAACTCCCTTCTCCCATTTGATTGTGAGATTTTTTCCCCCTAAAAATTGTCAAAGATCACCATTCTCAGATTAATTAAAATACAATGCTAGTGTTCGATACAATTTGAGATCCTGTCAAAGTAGGATCACACGGAAATCCTGTCATCTCCGCCAAAATCACCGGTGATCTTGGCATATGACATATATCAAACACGCACCCTTGATAAAGATTGTGAATCATTAAAAGAGATCCCTGGTATAGCTAAGAGGAACATTGCAGCATAGGACTCTGGAACTATCCAAGGAACTTGCAAAGCCAATCCAAGTCAGAATTCTGTTTCCAGGATACCATCAATGAGTCCAAACTCCATAGCCTGTAATATAGAACACAGGAAGATAGAAAGATAATTAGCTCTTTCATTTTTAATTTTTCAATTTTTTGAGATTTTCATTTTGTTGGAAGAGGTGGAGATAAGGGAATGGTAAGATGGAGGCTTTCCTCGATGGACTGTTGGTTTAACGTTGCCAGTTGATGTATTAGAAGCTAGTTAATGCAGCTTTCTCTTTAGTTACAGCGGCTTTAGCTGTTCAAGAAGGTGTTTCACAGGCTAAAGCTGAAGGATTCAGAAATGTATGTGTGATGGTGGATTCTAAACAAGTGTCTAAGAGACTAGAGAACATCACAAATGGAAGATTGCTTCTGGAGTGTGAGTTATTAAAAGGCTTCATGAGAGTTTTCTTAGTTTGAACTTTCACTTGGTCAATAGATATGCCAATACAGAGAAAATTTGGTCGCTTCCATGTTAAGAAGGAAATGCCCTCCCAAACGGGTAACCTTGGTGATGTGTGGTGATGCTGGTTATTCTTGTCATTGTTTTATTGGCTGTTTTGATAAATAAAAGATGACTCTTTTTCTGGGAGAAAGAAAGAAGTAAAGATATACCGGTTCTTGAACAGGAAGTTTGTTCAATTTCGATAGTTAAATCTCTCAAAGGTCCTAGTTCTAAGGGTAGTTGACAGAAAAAGTGGGGCAGGCAGGAAATCTTCACCAAGAATTAATGCTGGCCGTCATCACCTCATTTACAGGACTAAGCAACATTACCTCAGCAACAGATAAATAACGGTCCCTCTCAGTGTACAGTTGCACTTTCTCGTAAGGTTGACCAGTAAAAGCTGCATACATTTTGTCAATTTTCTGCAACATAGAACCAAAAGAAGACTGTAAATTTAAAGTGTAATGTGGAACAGAGAGCTATCAACTGAGTTGCTTCTAATGGATGAAGCACAAGCTGCTGTGCCAACTGAAAATTTTAAAGCAAGCAGAATGTGAAAACTGATCCACCCTACAGTCCTCTAGAAGGGAAAAAGATGCAACAGCAGTGAATTAAGCTTAAATTTGTTTTGTAAAAGTAAAAGATAATGACATTTTGTAGAATCAATAGAAAGAAAGAGTCAATATACATAAATATACACACACAAAGAGGAAAGGGAAATTACATGACGAGATCGAACTGCTTCATCCACTTGGCGTCTCACATCCTCCACATGACCCTAAAGACACATATAATGCACAAGTCAATTGTATTAACAATGAAATGACATGGGTCAAAAACTCACTAATAGATAAGAATGAAAATCGACGTGTTTAAGTCAGAAATTTTCTAGATTAAGAAACTTCTGATCTATTGCCTATTGTGAAAGAATAACAGTCCTCATCATTTCTAGAGAGTAGAGAGGGTTCCTACGTAACAAAATAAACAAAAAGAATATCATACCCCACACCCAGTCTGCGGTTGATGTATCATAATACGTGCATTTGGCATTGCATACCGCATACCCTTCTCCCCACCAGCCAGAAGAAGCGCTCCATGGCTTGCAGCTACTCCAAAGCAAACTGTGCCAACCTTTGGCTTGATCTGATACGTTAATAATCATAAAATGCTTGTAAATTTTAAAATTTGAAGAAAATAAGAAGAAAATAACAATGGATGACTTCTAAAATGAGATAATAAAAGAAATGAAAAAGAGAAAAAGAAATGGTAGATGAATGGCCTAAAATTGCAAAGCAAATAACCACAGATGCCATTACATGTTTTAATCAAGATCTACTTAGATTACCAAATGAAAAGGTTAGTTTGTCACTTTGTCGACTCAACCAAAAAGAAAAACCATGTTCCAATTCTGACTAAAAGATTAGATTATAAGGAGATTGCCAACATTTCTTCAAATGTTCTTGTAACTTTTTTCATATAATATTTGATATCAATGCTATGGCTTCCTGTGTAGTCAGTTTCATCAAACCCTAAAAGACAACACATTGCATTATTGGGGAAAAGTATCACTATTCACTATATGGTTCATATTTCATGAATGATGGATCAGTTGCCAGAGCATTTTTGGATACTAGTACAAACGCTCATGGTTAATTCATAATGGCTGTTCAGTTCATGTAATTGAATCTTAAGCATATAGAAAAAGTTTCGGCTTAAGTGAAGCACAGGGTATAAATTTCATAACAAACATATTACTATTACTAATGTGTTAAGGCATATGATATAAAACAAAAAAAAAAGGGGAAAAACTAACACACTGTAAAAAGTTTCAAATCTTACCCAGGACATGCAATCATAAATTGCCAACACGGAATAGAGGCTTCCACCAGGACAGTTCAAATACACCTGACAGCAATAGGCCATACTTAAAACTTAAGAAGCAGGCTATAAATATCTGGGGACCTCTATGTTTGTAACCCCCATTCCAAAAGGAAGAATAGAAAGCATGGCTGAAAGAAAGCACACCAGGATATCTGCATCCTCATTGATGGCTGTGAGAGTCATCAGCTGTGATATAACTCTCTGAGCAACTGGTGAAGTAATTGGCTGCCCAATGAAGATTATGCGATTCCTGAATAGAACAGTTGATAGGTCCAAAGGTCCTCCTGGAGTCATTACTGCTGGCATTATAGGCGGGTTCCCCTTTCTTGCTTCAATTGCAACATAGCTGCATGTAAAATAAGGTATCACTAAAATAGATATTCTTAACGAAAAGACTAGGGAACACACAATACATCCATACGTAATTGACATTAAGGAACTTATAATATTAACAGAACATAAGCAGAGTATTGCATTTTCAAGTAAAATCATAAAAATAAATGGAAAACAGTAGAAGAAACAACATATTGATTTGCAATGATTTTCCCATCAGCCTAGGCATTCACTGCTATAATGCATCAAAAAATAATTCATATCACATCCGCGTGAAATAGAACTCGTTCCCATCAACTTACATTAGAACAAAATTGATAACCAGAAAGTTAACTAAAAATTACTAAATGATGACATTAATAAGTTGCAGAAAGAGAAAATAAAATTCAAGCAAGCAGGTAAGGTCAGGAACCTTAGCTTGGGGTCATGCACATCCCTCTTGTCAGTCTTTTGAGGAAACCCAATAGTTCTATTAGATAGTCCTGGAAAAAGCAAAGAAATTTCATATAATTAGCCACTCTCTATGCACACATGAAAATGCTTTAGGCAAAATAACACACAGTAAAAGAGGGATGAAAACCTAGCACAATTAAACACGCACATAAGATTGCTTAAGAGTTAAAAGCATTAAAGAACAGAAACAATAAAAGATAGAAAAATCTCAAGGAGATGGGTACTTAATGAACCTAGATGAACATCAAATTGGGTCAAACCCCACATAATAAAAACATGAACTTTAAGCATCAGTGCACCAAGTTACAACTAAGAAATCTACTGAATTTCGAGAATTTAAAAAAAAAAAATACCAATTTTTGAAGAATCCCCATGCCTACCCGGCAATGCTGAAACTATCGTCCTCGCCGAGTTTCTGCAAGAAAGGAAAGGGATTAAGGGGCCGTGAGGAACTGATTATATGCAAGACTGAAAGGGATGCAATATATGGGTCTCTGGTGCGCACCTCCGAGGAAGAAATGAAGGCGGAGAAGTTCTGCTGGGAAGAGAAAGAGATAAATTGGAAGACGGTGAGATAGCTGCTGCTACCATGTCTGGACTCCGGAGGCTTACTTCTGCGGGAGAGAAAATATTGTAGTGGGGAGATTGAGATTGCAGAAGAGGTGTCAGTTAATAGTCTCGAATTAACTAGGCCCAATCTTTTGCAACCCATTTTTCTGGCCCAATTTTAATTTTTTTGATTCATTTGATGATGGCCTACCTTGCTAAAAAAATTCAAGAAGAAATAAATACATATTTCTTTAAAAAATTGGGAGGAATATATATATTTCTCATTTATCTCTTAGTTTAGTAATAAATTATTAATAGTAAAATTTAACACCAAACGACTTATTGGTCCGAGTGAAAGGAACTCGGTTATCCTTAAATAAGATATGGAATTTGAATCTTATAAATGAAGAAACAGTCACTGAGAGAGTTTCTTCTAATAGGATTTAACGTGATTTGATTCTGAATTAATCGAAACTAAACGTGATTATCGAATATCAAGAAATTAATAAATTAAGAACTAGCTAGTTCACCAACATATGACCTTAGGTATTGCCACTAAACATTAATCTGAGACTATGTTTGGTTTAGCCGATAATTACACTGTAGTTGTTTCCTCCTAAACATCTAGTTACGTTGTTAGGAAAGATATGATTATAGGTGAATTTCAAATCGTACTTGTTATTAGGTATTAGCTAATCTTCTATTACCATTTATTTTCAATAATTAAATTAGACAAAGTCTTAATAAAATTTGAGTTTAATGTTTTATAATTTAAATTATATTGAATTAAAAAATATCAATTATTAAATAAAGGATTCCTCCTAATTTATTGGTTAGTGTCTTAACAAAATGATATAAGTTGATATTTAATAGTTTAAACTATTAAACACATTTTTTAACAAAATATACTCTTAATTTTTGTAGTTGTCCCACTTAGGTTTGCAATAATATATAGGTATTTTAGGTGAAACTTTATCCTTAATTAAATTTTTTTTATAAATAAATTAAACTAAGAGAGAGATAAAGTTAAAATAATAATATTTAATGGCTCTTGTAAATTTTTTTTTTTAACAAGTTATCAAGGGGTGAACTCAAAACCCACTCATAATGAAAAAAAAAAAAAATGCACTTCAAGTTGGTTGAATGTCAGTTGGCCCGAATAGCCAAATGCATAGCTCTTGTAAATTGAAACTAAAACAATAAAATAAAAACATTAAGAAAGTATGAATTACGAAACATTTCTCCAAGCTAATTATGAAAGGTGTTTATCTTAGCACTTGGCTGTACCTGACCCAAAACAAAATTTAGTGGATAGAATGATACACACTTTCGACCATGTTATTTGAATAAACATCTTTCTAATATTAAGCAGTTTTAAAATTTGAAATAAAACATGATAATTATTAAAATAATGTAATTTAGAGTACTAATTCATTACAAAATTTGCTAGTCCGAAATAGGTTTGGAAGACGCTATGAGATGTTGTATGTAACTGTAATTTTTTTTCTTTTTATTATTCAAAAAATAGTTATAATTTAAAATAAACAACATTGTTTCAATAAGTATAATTGAATTTTTTTTTTTACTTATATATAATGATATTAGAGTATTTTTACCACAAATTGTCAAATTTTTTACAATGCCATTTATGAATATTATAATATTATAGTGATAATATTATTTAAAATTATAAAATTATAATAATATGATATTAAATAATTATAATGTATAAATATATATATATATATATATATAAACCTTCAAATGAAAGAAAACCAGACAAAAAAAAAGTTAAAAACAGGCCACCCAACTCTGTCGCAGCACTGCTACACCGGAGGAGCACTCATGTCCATTTGCATAAATTCTATTCCTCCTCCATTTCTTCTGCCCAATAATCATCCCAATTCTCTTTCATTCCTCCCTTCTTCTTCCTTCATTTCCAGTTCTGTTACTCTCAGGTCACGATCAACCTCATCTCCGCCACGTCTCCTCCCTCTCTCCCTCTCCGGTAATTCATTCTCCATTGATTCATGCTTGATCTTATTACTTTGTTGTCATCTTGTTTCTGTTCTTTTGGTTTGATTTCTCTCTGGGCTTCTCTTATGATCTTGTTTGAATCAATACGCATTCTATTTCGTGGGTTTTTTTTTTTTTTTCTTGGGGTAGTACAGATGAGATTGGTGACTGTAGGCAATCCTGGATCGCGGAGTTCTGGGAAATTCCCTTTTGGGTTTTTTATTGTTGGATTGGATGTCGGAAATTCCGTTGTGGGCTTTTGGTTTTTCTGAAAAAAGATTTAACTTTTCTTGTTTTGATAATAAAGTAGCCTTTTTTTGTTTGTCTAATTTTGTAGCTACAGATATGGACACTGGTGCAGGTCTAAGTTTATTTCCATTGCACCGCTGCAAAACAATTCACCTGGTTGGTTGTATTTAGTTTGCAATATATATAGTTAAATGCATTGCAGATTTGAAGCTGCTATTATTTGGTTCGAAGGGCATTCAAGATGGCCTTCTTTCTAGGCTTTTGCTTGCAAATCAAAGCATTGAGGTCTTATAAAACATTGCATCCAGGTGAGGCATGGTCAAGGGATCCACAATGTAGAGGGAGACGAAAACTATAAGGCGTACATGTCTCCTGAATATTTTGATGCCCACCTTACACCACTGGGCTGGCAGCAGGTAATTATCTTTCTGTATATATAACAATGCAATGTAATTCAGATCATCCTCTAACTGTAGTCTTGAATAAGAATGTTGCACTTGATGAGAGATCTTTTATAAAAGTTTCCCTCATTTGTAATCTTACAGGTTGATAATTTGCGTAAGCATGTCCAAACCTGTGGCATTGCCAAGCGGATAGATTTAGTCATTGCATCCCCTTTACTAAGGTATTAATGAGGGCATTTCATACTCCTTAGAAGCTTCTAGATTTTGCACCTTACAGACATTGGTTTTATGGTATTGCTGGTATGCTCTAGTCCTTTGGAGCTGACTCTTCTACACTGTGAGAATCATCCAGTATTGTGATTGTTTGTTGCTCTCATGTTTTTTCATCTCTATCCAAGCTTGGGAATGGTATCATGAAGCAATCCATTGACCATTGTTTTGAAAATCCTATTTTAAGTACTTATATGTGTTGCATTTAGAATTTTTGTTAGTAGCAAGTTATGATGTGCTATACTTTTGTCTAATTTGACATTAGGTTTTTGCCAATGTCACTTCCATTTAAAATCAATATAAACTGTTAATTTTTAGATATTAAATTTTAATGTCAATATTCTTTTTGATGTTTAGTGCTTTGCAAATTTAGGATAATGTTGGCTTTTTACACTGGACCAGTATACATGGCTAGTTTGCAGTTCCATAACTCTTCAAATGTATAATTATATGTAAAGCTATTTTAGACATTGTGGTCTCTGTTGAATCTGCTGTTGTTTATATTTAATGGGTAAGAGTCAGCTAACTTGTCTTAACTTGAAACTGAAATTGAAGTGACTGTTAATATCGGGAATGTACAAATTTAATAGCAACAGGCTTTGAAGTCATCTTAGGAAAAAGATGTCCTTGAAATAAGAGTTATAGGATTTTAGCATCCTGTACTTTTAGAGCTTGAATATGAATTGTAATGAAGCATTCCTGTAATCATTAGTGAATCATGATCTCACTGTAATGAATCATGATCTCATTATCTTGTAGGACACTGCAAACAGCTGTAGGAGTATTTGGTGGTGAGGGTTACACAGATAGGATGGATGTAGTTCCACTTATGGTGGCAAATGCTGGAAACAGCAGTTGTGCTGCAATTTCAAGTCTAAACTGCCCTCCATTTATTGCTGTGGAACTCTGTCGAGAACATTTGGTGCGTCCATTTCTTAAATTCTACAGTAATGTGTAACTCTTGGCTCTTGCTGTTTTGTTAAGGGATACACAGTTTTGTTTGGGCAGGGAATTGATCTTGAGGTCATTTGCTAGGAAGTAGGAACATGTTATTATATTGGTCTGTTATTTTCTTTAAGACAGCTTGGGTGAAGAATATTTAATGGATTGTCCAGATAAGGAGTTTATTATCCACTATATTCCTTGATCTAGTCGGTTGTTAATGCTTTTGATGATGCCCAACTTTCAGCGCAGTGGGTCATCTCTTCCAAGACCCTGCTTAAGTTTTTCATCAAAAAGAAAACCTTTCTTACATAATTATCACTTTTTACATGTGATTAGTGTAGGATGATATCTAGATTACCCATTCTAAGATCTTAGTTAGATAGAGTGTAACTAGACATTACATTGCTTGCTCTTGTAATGAATGATTAATGACCAAAGTTTCTACTTACCAAACGGACTTGAATGTACAATGTACATCATTAGATTGCGAGAGAAAAGACTAATAGTTCAAGCAAAGGAACTTCTGTGTGTTATGCATTAAGTTAACGTCTTAAATTATTGTGGATAAATTTTATCATAAACAAGATACTTATGGTTGAAGAATTTTCAAATCTCTCCAGTAAAAGTTGTATTATAGAGCAACGTTTTCTTCTATGCTGTCATGTTTCTTATTTTATTGTTACCTTTTATTTTAAAATGGGAAGCAATGACATACGTTAAAGTATAAACATGGATTTCCTTGCTTCAAGATTCAATGATCAAGTCCTTACTTTTATCTCAAACATCTTTTGATGCAGGGGGTTCACCCTTGTGATAGGAGGAGGAATATCAATGACTATCAGTTTCTTTTTCCTGCAGTTGACTTTTCACTGGTAAGTAACTAGGTCATTATGTTATACCCAGAAAAGTGAATTTTGCAAATGCTACCAGTTTTGGTAACTGATCCAAGTTTGGCTAGATTCTAGGGCATTCATTTTAATGTGCTGTGTTGAATATTTTTTTAGTCTCTATCCAGATAGAAAGTGATGAGGACACATTATGGAAGGCTGATGTTAGGGAGACTATTGAAGAAGTTGCGGCCAGAGGGTTGAAGTTTATGAATTGGTGAATACCTTATTTACTCTTTTATTGTGTGTTAAAAGAGAATCTAAAACACATTATCCTTGGAGATTGTGACCAATACTTGTATGTGGAATTGCTAGTCTGCTACATGGAACTAGGGTTCCCTTCTGATTTATCAATTATTGGTTGTTACATGATATAAGAGCTTTCTTGCAACTCAAGTTTCTGATGTGGTGTGTTCAAATACTGTCATCAAGATTAACTTTCTCAATCTCACAGCAAGAAAAGTTTTATTTTGGATCTCATACCATGATTTATTACTAGGTCAGCCCTCATTAGTGATTACCTATTCCATACCTTTAACTTCATTAACCAGTTCTAGAAAACTGCTTTGTACATGGAGATGTTTAATTTGATTTAAATGTACAAGGAACTACCTTAGGTCCCCTCTTTTCAATTCATTTTGCAGGTTGTGGACTAGGAAAGAGAAGGAGATAGCAATTGTTACCCACAGTGGGTTCTTGTTTCATACATTAAGTGCATTTGGAAATGATTGCCATCCATTGGTGAAAAAGGAAATAGGCAAACAGTAAGCATCCATGGATCCCTCTTGCTTTAGTTATAGGATGCTGTGACTCTTTTCTCTAGACAAAGTTAACAAGAAATGTTTCATTTCTTTATTCTGGTATTTGGCCTTTGTTCAATGTGTTTACCTGATACAATCAATTCTCTATATTCTTTCTCCAATCTTTTCAATATGTGATTTAAGTTCTGTCCAGACTTGGATATTTCAGAATGATACTATCTTTTCCATGCATGCGGTGCTCTATATGATAGTTTGGAAATGATGACTGCTCATTGGACGTCTGCATATTCGCCACTGCATGTGAAGTTTTTGTTCAATGTAGAATTACTAGTTGGTAGTTGCAGAAAATTGGGGACCTTTGGAAAAAAGCAAAATTTACACCTACTCTGGAATATGCTTGGAAGTTAGAAATTGAATTATATTGATGTTCAGCTCCTTCCAACGAAATAACTGTTTAATTTCAATTCACAGCTTTGCAAATTGTGAGCTTCGTTCCATGGTAATTGTTGACAGAAGGTGAGCTGTCTCAACTTGTTCATAATTATTCTAAACTCCCAATTTGGATAAATCACAATCCTACATTGTTTCTTCTCTCCAGCATGATAGGAACAGGTTACTTGACAACTAACTACCCCGGGAGGATTCCTTCAGGGTTAGACCTCCCAAGTGATGTAGCAGATAAGAAGACTGAGAAAGGTCCTGATACAAATTCCGACCTCTGAAAGTCATGCTGAGTGGTTGATGCTCATTGTTTAAGGAAAGCATTCTTGGAAACTTTGTACCTCTATTCTTCAGACAGTATATGTTACCCT